CTTTAAGTGTTAGCATTTACGTTGCTATGACAGCTGCAATTTTCACATCCTTAATAAGCCTCTGATTATGCCATGGTTATACTAACGAACTGTACAGTTTTAACCACATATGTTAGATGCATTATCTTTGATTTCCATATCTGTCTGCACGAACTAGCCTAGGGATATGAAATTTTATTTAAGGGAAACATTGCAAGTGATAGAGTGAAAAAGGCAGGAATAGGTAAAAATAATGGGTGAGACGCTGTCGCAGTTGTACCTATCATTTAAACAAATTCAGTCTAGATGAAAATGACCTGAATTCGTGCAAGTGAAAGAATAATGGTGGGTTCATGATTTTTACTCCTTATCAAAATATTTTGACATTGTTGATTTACTTCACAACAATCTTAATGTTCTTCCCAGAAAATAAGCATAGCCTATCGACTAATTTGCATAATAATATAATATGCTAATCAACTATAATGTACTAATTGTTATAATAATTAAGCTCCATTGTTTAACATCATAGAGTAGGTGGCTTTCATGCTTAGCTATAATGTTCTTGGGGGAACCAAGAATTTTTTTCTATTAGATTTGGGTACATGACAGAGTTCATTGACCTCAAGTACTATATAGTTATTGACTGATAACCAGGTGTTCCAGACTGTAACTTAAGGCAAAGCAGATACTATTTAAAGCAGATAATGGTAGAGGATACATATGGATCTTATTTTAGTGATTTATTATAAAGTTTAGGATACATCAATCAACATATATCTGAGCTACACAGATGGTTCTCAAATTTCACCCAATTTAGCATAGACTGAGTTCGTTGTTTATTATTGAGTATTTAGTAAAGGAGAAAAGCAGTATTGCAATATTTAAAAATCTACTTCTTGAAATAGGTTGCAAGCTTCTAAATGAATGACATTTAAAGTTTCATTCCTGGACAAAATAGAATGATTATGGTGGCTTGAATGGTAAGATGTTGTATTTATTGCAAAAACAAATCAGAAATGTCAGTTATTCAGCAACCTCAAATTTTTTTTTATGTGAAACTGAAGTGGATTAACTGTGCATTATTTCACATTCATACTTGGATATCGTTATAAGCAGGTGGCAGCCATTGCCAAAACTAAGAGGCTTTTAAGAGAAATACAAATCTACTGGGTTGAACACAAGTTGTTTGTTTTTATTGATATTTACAAGTACATGTGGATTGATCTAGCGTGTCACATTTTTCTGAGGATTATGTCTGTATGTATAGAAGATTTAAAGTCTAAACATGTTCAATGTGAGCAGTATAAGACATTATTGGAAGTCTGGCTGGGTTGCTAAGTTGAAACGCTGGTCTTATTAACAAATTACAAAAAGAAATGCTAATAAATTATTCGTTAGTGTGCATAAACGATATTAATGAAATTAATAATACCGGTATGCATTTTAAAATTTATATTCATACTAAGATTTTAGAAAACACAGACTGAAATAATTTATGAAGGAACATCAAATATACCTTGTATTTTGAATAAGCATTAACAAGTTTGAATGCTACAGTTGACACAGTCTGCACAGTGTTCAAAATGGACCCCATGCGATATATACATGTATATACATGTGTGTGAATGTTTTTTTTTCACACAAAATAATTTTGGCACTAAAATAATAAAGACAACACAAAATATTTCAAAAAATAAGACTCAACCGTTTGACAATCTTCAACTTTCAAAGACACTACATGCATTTCTCATCCATGACACTTATGAGACACCAGTAAATAAATGCTAGCCAGCATTACCATAATCAAAATGAAAGGGAGATGCCATCTTTGTTTGATCACAGACATTATTGTTCTATAGTGACTAAAAATACCTGTAGGTCACATATTCTTGAAACCTTATATCATCAACAGATTGTGAACACAACCAAGTATTATATACTCTGACATAATCTATTTTAATTTTCCACTGGAGAGTAAAAACTATCATTACTGTGACAGATGATTCTTGCCAGAATTGAAAACGCGACATAGATTAGATTTATTACTACAAATTAAAAACAGTTTCTTTAAAATACAGCAACACCTCCTCCAAAATTTACTTCTTTTTTTTTAATTGTTCTTTTGCTTGCAGTGTTATATTGTGAATTTTTAATTGTATTTTATAATATTTTTTTCCTAATTATTGTCTGTATATTGTTGTGAGTTTTGTTAGTGAGTGTATTTTAATTCCTTCTGAGCAGTTTTAATCATTATTTAATATATTGAAATTGTATAGATCTGTCAATATACCACAATGAAGAGGTTAAAGAGGAGAGGATAAAAGACAAAATCTCCACTTAAAGTAAAAAATGCTACAGAAAAATTCATAGCATAACAAATTTATTGTGGGAAAAATAGCTCAAAACTAAGCGCAGGAAGCAAATAATTTGCTCAGAAATTCTACCATAGTTTTGGTTTTTAATGGTCTACCTCTAAGAGTTCCAGTAATTTTGTGGAATTTATAAGGGTATGATGTCTACAATTTGACTGGTCAACATAGGCCACCAATGATCATCAAAGCAGTAAGAAAATATGTTGTTTTTTACATGTTCTATGGCACAAGGTTTATATTCCACCTTACTAATAGAGTATATTGCGATTTCAAGCAGAAGGCAAATAAAACAAAACATTTCAAAAGATTGGTAAGTTAGCTTAACAGTAAAAAATGTCATGCAATTTTACTGATTATTGACTTTCATATAAATTCTATTTGTTCTTACCTTGCTATAGAATAAGCTCTGTCCTGACTCCACCCTGACACTACCAGCGTGTGATGGACTACTGCCATAGAACACACTTTGTCCAGACTCCACTCGAACATTTCCTTTATGTGACGGACTACTACTGCTATAATAGGCGATGCTCTTTCCAGTGGGCTCTCCCCTGACACTGCTGGTATGGGACGGACTACCATGGTCGTAGAACACACTCTTTTCAGACTCTACCCTAGTACTATGTGATGGACTACCGTGGTCATAGAACACACTTTTTTCAGACTCAACCCGAGTACCATGTGAGTGACTGTTGCCATCATTTTCTACTTCATAAACTGGGCGCATTCTTTTACCCCTGAAAGTAAACACAGAAAACAGACGACAATTTGATGAGAGTTGAAAAGAGGTGTGAAAAGTTTAAATTATTACATCACACATCAAGTTTTTAATATCAAACATGATACAGTGACATTTTCAGAAAATTATAAGATTTGATGATTTTAAATTCAAGCCCCGCAAATTGCTGCATCTCCATCGTAAAATTGTACTCCAAGATTGAACTGTTATGATTTATTTTGTGTTTTGAGGATATTTGAAGACATGAACTATGATTTAAAGCAGTAATTATGAGGAATCAGGGTAAACGTTAAAGATAATTACAGTATATTGCCAATTTCCATCTGTAGCAACAATTCATGGAAATGACATAGTCGTCATATCATGTCTTATTCAATACGTGTTCATGTGATATATACACACCTTTAAAATTTATATATTTATAACAAATTTGAAAACACACTGCACAATGAGTGTGACACTTGTTGATTTTATGCCCATTATAAGAAAGAAATTTGAAATAAAAATTACAAGTAACTAATAAAATTCCAGCAGTGCAATAAGGTTGTAGTAATACAGGATTTAGCCAACAACAAATTTATTAAGTTTCCCAGACTCATTAACTTTTTGGGAAACTTCAAATCTGAGACTTTTCCTTGAAAGTCCCCTTCTGCAATGCCTTTCTACTATATTTACAATATAACAATTAATCAGTTGTAAATTATGGAATTTTAATTTCTAGAACTCATCGTCAAGTAAGTTTAGTACACATGTACGATAATGATCCATTGTTCAAACCTTCCAGCCAGGCAAACTTTGTAACAGAACACAACTTGTAAACAACTTTGGTGACCAAAGATAAGCCAGAAATGTTATCCATCTTGTAATATTAACAGTCCATAAGACAGTAAACAGTATTAAACACCATGCACTCCATATTTCATCATTTAGGGTACAGTAATAATGAAAACGGAAAGCCCAAATGGCTTGTGGATAATTAAGCAATTGTCAAAGCACTGATACAACATCCATCATAGACAAAAGAAAATCATAAGTTATTGTTACCTTATACAGATACTGATATCGTTAGTTACTCGTTTTAGTGTGAAAAACATCTCTGTAAAGACTAACACTGAACTTCACATTTTAAATGCTCTCATAGTACTAGTATGTACCAGGTATTTACATGTGATTCTGACACTCTATAAATATCCTCTTTAAACTGAAATCAAGTGGTGAGGTATTCAAGGGTATTTCCTGCTACTCCATGCCAAGAACCATAGAATCCATCAATCCACACAATGAATTATAGCTTACATGCAATATGTCATAGTATTTTAATGCAATTTTACAAAAGAACCAACACAGAGACAGTCAATGGAAAAAATGTAGTAAAAAGTAAATCAGTATGATGAAAGTGAAATTTTAAAAGTGATTTTACATACATTCCTATGTGTATACATACATGTACATGTTTATATGTGTTACTCATAACAGAAAGATTTATTCTGTGTGGGTGAACTAGTGAGCTATATTCTAAATATACATATTTTGCATGAAATTTGATATTTACTCGCATTTATTTTTAAAACAAGTTGATATTGAAATGAAATTCTGCCTGTTTCGTGCAGATATTTTACAAATCTTGTGTACAGCCCTTCTTGTGAGCAACTGATTTCATAAGAAATACAATATATTCAGTAGAACAGTCACACCCAGTGACGTAACAAAGATTTGATCACACCTGTTTCGTTTTCATTGAAACAGAATTATACTATATTGCTTCATCAGAAGCTATCCATCTCCAATAGAAGTGCATATACATGTACTGTATGCTTGATAATTGAAATATGACCATACACACAGCTCTGTTATACTGTATGTAAGTGCATGTGTTACAGGTCAAATGCAGTATACATGTATATTTTCACAAGTCCTGTTACTTTCTATGGCAGCCCTGTTACTTTCTATGGCAGCCCTGTTACTTTCTATGGCAACCCTGTTACTTTCTATGGCAGCCCTGTTACTTTCTATGGCAGCCCTGTTGCTTTCTATGGCAGCCCTGTTGCTTTCTATGGCAACCCTGTTACTTTCTATGGCAGTCCTGTTACTTTCTATGGCAGCCCTGTTACTTTCTATGGCAGCCCTGTTGCTTTCTATGGCAACCCTGTTACTTTCTATGGCAGCCCTGTTACTTTCTATGGCAACCCTGTTACTTTCTATGGCAGTCCTGTTACTTTCTATGGTAGCCCTGTTACTTTCTATGGCAGCCCTGTTACTTTCTATGGCAGCCCTGTTACTTTCTATGGCAGCCCTGTTACTTTCTATGGCAGCCCTGTTACTTTCTATGGCAGTCCTGTTACTTTCTATGGCAGCCCTGTTACTTTCTATGGCAGTCCTGTTACTTTCTATGGTAGCCCGGTTACTGTCTATTTTTAATTCCTCAGGAGTGTTCATCAAGAAAATAGGGGTTGTAAACAATGCTCCATTTCATCAGTGATAATTACAGACACCAATATACACAAAGAAAAAAATTAAATTTTGTTATATCATACATAGTTACAATAATGCGGTTGTCATCCTTGTACTGCAGAGAATGATGATTATTTTATTTTTCTAGCTACTCATTCCTTAAAGGAACAAGGACCGGAACAAAGGGAGCCCAGGAGCTGATTGCTCCTGGAATTATCCTCAGACTTCACAACCAGCCATGATTTCAAAGTTTATTTTTTCATGATGACACAGTAGGCTTCACAAGCTTTTTTTAAATAGCGATAATTTTCAGCATTGCTATATGTATCACTTTGCTACTCCCTTTCCTTTCCTCTCCTCTCCTCTCATTTTCCATTCCCATCTATTCTGCATTGACTTCCCTCAATTTTTTTATGTGTCTGGGTTCACATTATTTTTCCTCTAGAGAAAGAAAGACAATGTTGTCAGTTGGAGCAGAAGCTGCAATGGTTTGAGATGGTCCCTTACCCCATCACACTGCCCAATTAGATTTCATGCAGAGATAAACGTAGGCTACGATTTGCAAGGCCCCTTTACAGACCCACATAGGTAGCAATCATTTTTAACAAGCACTGATATTCAGAAATCAGTTAACTTAGTAACAATCAATCTCATTTGCCAATCCAATCACCTGTGATGAATCATCTAATAGTTGCTATGACCACTATAATGGTAACCTTGGTAACAGTTTGCACCAACCATTCAGACATAAGCGATCAGAGCATGTTGACTGAATACTGCAATTTTATTTTTCGGAATGAAATACACCTATACAGACTATAGCTATGTTCACATTACAAGATCCTGGCATGAGCCGAATATTTTCAATCATTCAATCATTCAGGTTTAAAAATAAGTTTATAGCACTTGCGTTCATGATAATCAGGACAGCAACAGTGTAGACTTCGAACTCACTGAGCTGTGTTCCATTTGTAAATCTGTAGATCCAAATATAAGCGTGTTCTGCACATGTATCTGAGGCTTCTTGTAATAATAATAGTATTAATAATCAATCAACAAAAGAGAATTCAAAGAACAGCCATTTTTAACTGAGAAAAAAATTTCTGTTTCTCGCTTCAGCATGCATCATTTTGAACTATGCGCCTTGGACGTTTCAAATCAAAGAAAGCTTAGAAAGAACTCCCGTGTGCTGAGAGTATTGAAGACACATTAAAAATTAATTTAAAATTACTAGTACATGAGATATTGATGGAAAAGCTGAAAACTAATTATGTAAATCAGGTAACTAATATGAACAGAACAAAAATTATGAATTATTATGCTAATTAGAGAATTAATATGAACAAATTTTAACCCAAAATTAATCAGGCCTGTCTATTGTTCTAGAGCATTTATGTACCAAATTATATTCAAATGTGATGATCAGTAATTGAGATATCAGTGTTAATTAATTATGTTAATTAGGTGATTAATAAGCATAAATATTTACCAAAAACTAATTGGGTCTCTGCATAGTTCTCTTTAAAAATTTCATTAAAATCCAATTTGTGGTTCTTTATATATCAGTGGAACATCATGCAAATTAGGTAATTAATATCCAATTAAAACTAATCAGGTGTCTGCATAATCCTAGAAGATCTATGTAGCAAGTCTCATTGAAATATGATGATTACTACTTGATATATCAAAAGCTGAAAATTAATTAATTATGCAAATTAGATAATTAATATGTACTCATATTACCCTAAAAACTATCAGGTCTGTGCAGTGTCCT